TACAATATAAATTAATACTCACTAATCTCTCTAAAGTAAATTTTAAATAAGCTTTTAAAAAATATAAATATATAGTGTTTTCAAAATTTACTCAAAATCTACTGAAAATTAATTTAAAATTTTTTCTTTAATAAAATTTTAAATTTATAAAAAAATAATTTTTCAAAACAAATAATTTTTATAATATATTTAGATTGAGTAAAATGAAAGAAAAAAAAAGAAGAAAAAATATTTTAATTGATTAAAAAGCTCTTCCCTTTATTTTCCTCAATCCAAATATAGGTTAAGCTCCAAGCACCCAAGAGGAAACTTTGTTAGGGAGGTTTTTGAGATAAGGTTAATCCCATATTGAATGTTGAAAATTGAACTAATATGATGATTGAAACGAACCAAATTGATGGAAAATTGGCCAAACCGCACTTAGATTAGATTTCTTTGCATTTTAAAAATGCAAAATCAACATAATTAATTTGGTTAATGGTTTCAATATCTAACAAACTGAATAAAACAAACTAGATAATTAGTTAATTAGGAAAATAATTTTTCTATTTTCAATTCCTTTTCCTCTCTCATATGGATTGATTGATGTTATTGTTATACTCTTAATTATTAATGTTATATTTTTTATTTTAATTGATCATTATATTTTCTAATTTATTAAATGAAAAAAAATTGAGAAAAAAATATAATATAAAAACATAATAAGTATTATACTAAAATAATGTGATATTAACTATTTAAGTAATAGCAATAACGCTACCTTTTGGACCCTTACTAATTATGTTGATAACAATTTAAAAAAGAATAATAATAAATTGAACGAAAATTTGAAACCAATGACTTGGCGTAAGTCACTTTATTTAAAATATTAAAAAGTTGATTTTATTTTATTTAATGATTGATTTTTTTTAAGACTTGTAATATTATATATATTAATTAATTTAATGATATGACATCATTAATTTTAAATTTATCCTAAATTTTTGTCCTTCCTATTATTACTATGTAAATAATTACTATCTAAATAAAGTAGGTCAAGAGAGTAAAATCAACATTTTTTTTTTGTCTCTCTTCTTTGTTCATTTATCCTTTTAGAAAGTCGAAGGCTAGTGATAATTTTATAAATTACTTGGGGTTTGATGGTATTCTGGTTGATTGAAATATGACTTTTAATAATTTCATAAAATTTTGTAGCTTTTTTTAATAAGTGATACACACTACTAAAAAGGCAAAATACATATAAATTGAGTTTTAATTAATGATTAACCCTCAAAATTATAAGATTATAAATTTTAAATCTTTAAATTAAAAATTTTGAGTAGTTAAAAGTTTGAACAATTAGGTTTGAATTTTTAGATGACGTCGTGATGATTGAAATTTAAAACACATGGTACCCTAATAAGTTGATATTTTTTTTTAATTTTAATTTTAAAATTGTTTACTTTAATTTAATTTTAAATTTTACAAAATATTGATGATATCTTATATTATGAAAAATTAATTATAGAAAATTATAAATAAACTTGGCTTTAACAATGCTAGATGCATGTTAAAAATTAGGCATTCCAGATAGTTGAAAAAAAAGGATAAATTAAATGAATTTAGGTTATTATAAATATTAAAGAGTTTCTTTTACATTAGTAAAAGTTAATCAATATTTATTGACTAAACTCTATATTTGCACCGTATACATTTTTTCTTTTTATGATCAACATCCTAAATTAATTTTCATTCTGATTAATATCTTCTATAATTTAAACCCTGTAAAAAACCTCAAACTATCAACAAAATGGTGGTGCAAATAGGGGTTTTACCACAAAATTAAGATGTAAATAGAGGGTTTTGATTATTAATTTTTGGGTTTTTCGTGGGTTTTGAATAGTAAAAGGTGTTGAGTGGAACAAAAATTAATTTAAAGTATTAATCCTAGAATTAAAAAATGTATTGGGTGTAAATAGGAGCATTGACCATACTTATTTTGAATAAAGTAGAAAAGAATTTGAAAAAAAAAAATTTATATACATTGTTATGATATATGAACGTAATACTTTGGATACTTATTTGGACTTCATTTACATGTAAATTTGAACCCCTTATAAATTTATTTATTTTTTTGTTGAATGGGTAATATATCTTTAGGTTGATTTACATATATTTTGATACTAATTTCTCTCTAATACATTTAAAGAGACATCTTCATGTCAAATTAAAAAAATTTAAAAAAATTACTTATTCATTACTCATTAACCTCCAAAAATTAAATCTTGATGAACAAAATAAAAACAAATGTTTTTATTGTTATTGTTACACTCTTAATTATTAAGTCATATTTTTTATTTTAATTAATTATTATATTTTTTAATTTATTAAAAGACAAAATAAAATTTTGAGAAAAAATATAATATAAGA